TCCCACCGTGTTTCTACATGCTTTTAACATGTCCTCGACAAAGCTTAAAATCGGCAGTTCTATACTATTATATCAGGACTATGCTCACATTTTTCTAAGTTTTGTTTTTGAATTTCCATAATGAAATAGCAAAAAATTGGGTTTATATTTTAATCCCGGATTATATTTTTAAAAAGACTTTGTCCAATATTAAAAATCATTTTTTTTTAATAAAATTTAATAAAATTTGATAAAATGTGTGGTTTAAAAGTTGATAAAATTTGTGATTTTTTTCTTAAAATTGGTGCTAGATCACCAATTCAAAGTGATCATACTTGATTGATATAATTAAGTCATTGTTTGAGCTTCATTTTTAAATGAATTTTGGTTTGAAATAGTGATTTTTTAAAGAATATGTAATTAAAAAATAAGGTGAAGTTTTCGATTTATGTGATATTATTTTGTGGAAGAATGTTGAAAACGATTTCTGAAAAAATAAGTTCTTGAAAAAATGGGGGCCAAACATTGCCTAAATAACTCATGCGATATTGTTGATAAATGAATATATCATTTAGCCACTATTAAATGGCCATTATTGTGTAAAAATGATATTTTGAATAGTAATTTTTTAAAGAATGTGTAGTTAAAAAGTATGAAAAAGTTGAGTTTGCATGCAAAATATTTTATTATGTAGAAGTGTGATTGAAAAAAGTATGAGAAATAAATTGTTTTGTTTTGAAGGCATGAGCTAGACCTTGAATAGAGTGTTGGCACCTAAAGTAAAGGTGTCGATGTATGACCTTGTTGCGCCCTTCGATGCTCAAGTCTGTAACGATAAAGAAATATAGAAGTAGGGCCTTGAACTAAATAACGTAATGAATAATAATTACATATCTACGGTACAATGTGATGTAATTCCGGAAGGATTCTAACATCGCTAAAGATTAGGACTCCTAGTAAGATTAAAAGTCTTAGTCCTTGTTTGGCAACTGTTTATAGATTATTTATAATCAGTTAAATTATTTTTTATTCACATATTTCTTGAGATCAATAGATATTACTAACTTATACATCATTTATTTTACTTACTTTTTAATCATACATTCCTTGGGACCTACTACTTGCAATCATCTTTTTTTTTTTTTATAAACATGGACTTAGTCGAGTTGTGTTAAGACTAGGATAATATTGCCTTAGTAGGATTAGGTTATCATTGGAGGTCGTATTCTTGATCTAGCCATGTTGTCGTGTGAGCATCAGGGGCGGACGCAGACTTCTTA